AAGGATTCGGTTGTGCACCCTTTGATGCAGGAGAGCATTTGTGGAAGCTGCTGTCAAACAGCTGCTTTGAAAGCATCCATGCAACCTACCGAAGCCCCCGCCACAGGAAGCCCAAAGCTCAAAATTACTGCTATTTCACTGCTATGCCCCATAAATAACATGCTGAACAGGTGAGCTGCAAGCATTATTAATGCTCACTGTTGAAAGCCTGGTGGGATCAGGAGTTGGTTCACACCCCACTTGATGGGATGCACCAAATCCAAGCAGAATGAATCAGCAGGCACCCCCTAGCAGTGGGTGCAGAAGGCGGAGTGCTGGGGAGCATCGCTGAGTGCAACCTCTGGGGATCCCAAAGGACACCCAGTAATGGTTTGCTGGGAAGGGGTGCATAGAAAAAGCCACATTTAAAACATCTCTAAGCCCCAAAGAACAGCGAACAGGTCAGCCCTCAGTCTCTTTCCCCCGATCTCTAGTTCTTCCCCAGTGAAATGCCTGTCCTAGCCCTGGAGCATCCTCCCAGTGCAGGGAGAGGAGCCAGCAGGCAGAGCTGGCACAGAGCTCCCCAAACCCCATGGGAGGTGAGGGCTGGGAAGATGTCCCATGCACCCTGAAACCTAGCTGTGTCACCTCAGGACCAGGCCCCAGGCTGAGCTCAGCAAGAAAGTCCTGGGGTGTCTGAGCAGCACAAAGCTGCCTCTACCCTGGAGAAACCCTCAGGTGGGTTGTGCAGGGCAGAGACCTACAGACTGGCAAGAACTGAGCCCAGCAGAAATCCTGTGCCCCAGGGTACAGACCAGGGGTACAGCTCTCGGTGCCTGATGTTCTCTGCTCTGACGTGGCTTGGCCATGATTAAGAAAGGCGAGCTGAGCACTGGCCCTAATGGCCAACTTCTCCCAACACCACATCTGCCCCAAATCCTTCTGCTCCGCCCCTGCACAGAGCCTGACAGGCTGCAAAAGTACAGCAGGTCCCAGACGTTGTCTGTGCCAGGGAAATGTATCCATCCAACACTGTTCCAGCAGAAAGGTCATCAGGGCAGGGCACAGACCCAACAAGCCCAAGCACCAACACAAGTTCAAATGCTCCAAAAAAAATAGAGCAACACCTGCCACAGACCTGATCCCACAGCACCCTGGCAGTCAGGATGACTGCTCTCAGCTTAAGGCACCTCCAGGACAACAGGACCATGCCAGCCCTCCTCCGCATCCCAAGCGTCTCTGAACCTTCTTCCATCCTCTGAGGCTGGTGCTGTGCTTCCCTCCCCCCCAGGGATTTTGCTTTGGGACAGCCATTCTGCATAAACAAGGGCTGTGCAAAACAAAGCTGCGTTGAATTAGGGCCCTTTTGAATAGATCCTGCAGCAGCCAAAACCTCAGGGACCAGGAGGTGGGAAGAACAATGGGACGGGATGCTTTGGGGACACAGAGCCTTTTGTCTCCAGAGAGCAGCATCACATGGAGCACAGCAGGACTGAAGCAGAGCAATCCCCAACTTGAGCCCTGTTTGGGTCACCAAAGCAAGTTGTGCTGCTCCCAGGGGGATGCGTGAATACGTGGGTACCACTGGTGCTGGCTCCCAGCTCTCACCCCACACAGCTCTGATGCAGTTCTCCCATTCCCAGCTGTGCCCATGGGATGCAGCAGACGCTGCCATGGGCTGTTCTTCTTGTCCCCAGAGGGAGAACCCTAAGTGAGGTGCTCGCCTTTGGGTGCGCGAGCAAACGGACCCCCAAATCCCACATCCATTGGTGCTCTGTGATGATCCATCTCCTCTTGGATGCACGGATATCCCAAATGGGTGGATTTGCAGGGTATATTTTACCCTAAGAAACTCCATCCTCACCAGAGAGGTTGCATCAGGGAGCGAGGCAGCCAGACCTGGGCACATCTCCCTGCCTAAAAAAGAGCCAGAGGTGACAAACGCAGGCCACCACCGCCACCTTCCTGGCAGCATCTCCGCAGTGCCATAGCAACAGCTGAGGAGTAGGGAGACCCAGATGGCAAACTCCTCCATCCACCCTTCCCCATGCACCGTGCCGGAGCGTGCAGGCGCTGCCCACACTGCCAGCATGGTAACTCCTGGCACAAGGCAGCACAGGCGAGCCCAGCATCCCCAAATCCTGACAGGTGGGGAGCCGAAGGGGGGAAGCACCCTGGCTGCACGCTGCGTGGCATAAGCACAGCCCCGCAGGTCTTGTTCTGCCTGGATCTGGAAGCAGCAGCGTGAGGCCGGATGGGAGGTCTGCAGCTGGGCTGTATGTCAAGCTCTCGGCTGGGTGGGACCCTCTGCATCCAGAGCCACATCACTGGGGACGAGGTCTAAAAATCAGACATTCCTGAGCTCGCTGGGAAAGGGCAGGGGACGGCAGCCAACCAGCCTCCTCCATCTTCATCTCATGCTTTGCTGTTAACCTGTCCCTGCCTGGATCTGCTTGAAGGCTGTGTGCCACCTGCTCTGCCCCATGGCCTTATGGATCCCAAAGCCATGAGATGTCTGCCAGGCCCCTACATTCTACCCAAAACTAAACCCACCCAGCCCAGAGACTGCTGCGCTCTCCCCAGAGGGAGGATAGGTGGGAAAACAGAAGCAGCAGCAGCAAAGTCAATACAGCACCAAGTGTGAGGTACCTTGCTGTGGGAATCCATGGGCTGGGTGCCTCCATCCTCCTTGCTTTGGTGGCACCCTTCTGTAAACCATCACAAACATGCAAAATAATCCAAAGCTCCCTGTGACCTGCCAGGGAGGGGTGGGGTGGCACAGAGGGGTCACTGCCCTGCACTGATGTGGATATGGAGGCACGTGCCAAGGCAGCTCATGGTGTTCATGGTCGAGGCTTTCCCTCTCCACACTCTCCCAACAGCCCCTTACCAAGCAGAGCCTCTCATCTGGACATCACTAAGGCCTCACTCAGCTCAGGGTGGTTTCACCACCCCGTGTTCCATCTTCCTGCTTGCCAAAAGAGGGTGGAGCAGAGACCACCACTCCTGAGCATGGAGGGTGCTGGACCCGATGTCACTCACACACACCCCACACGAACCTGAGTTCAACCCAGCTCTAAGGAGCTCTTCCTTTACTGGAAAGCAGCCCCATCACCCAACCCATCCCTCTGCTCCCACAGGCACCAGCCTCAAGCCACCTCCCCTGGAAGCACAGACCTCCTGGGTAAAGTTTGCACTCACGTTCTGTCTCAGCCTCTGGTGGCATTTTGGAAATCATGCCAGTCCTGCACCCACCTGGTCTCAACTCAGAGAGGAGGGTGTTGGGCTGGCAGCAGCTCAGGGGTGCATCCAGCCAAACCTGGCACCTTCTCCTCACCCCCAACACAGAGAGGCTTCTCTCTCAGCATCTCTAGTTGCGGAGCTGAGTCTTTTTCTTCTTTCCTCCTTCTCCTTTTTGCAGGCTGCTTATCAGCATTTTTCAAAGCAGCAAAGACATTTTCTGGGCACAAAGGACCCACGCAGTAACACTTCTTGCAGCAGTTCAGATGTCTGCCTGCCTCTGACAACCCACACCGACACCTTCCCAGAGCTGTCAGCTCCACAACGGGTTAAAACCAAACCACAACAAACAGGGAACACAGGGAAAAAAAAAACACCACAAGAGTTCCTCCGACTTCCCCATTCGGAGCAAAACACCCCAACCCCACGGCGCAGGATGGATTTGGGGCACCGGGAAGGGAGCCCTGCATGAGTTTTGCCCCATTGCTGCTTTGCCGGGGAGGCAGCGGCATGGCTGGGGGATATCGGGGCTGGAAATCTGCTTGGACAGGGAAAGCTGCTCCAGTCATTTGCACCCAGCAAAGGTGACAAGCGAAAGAAGCACCGCAATTACTCCATGGCTCTGCTGCAATCGCACTGTGACCAAACGCAACAGACCCGGCAAAGCAACCCTCCCTCCACGCAAAAGAATAAATAAATAAGCCTCCATTACTCATGCCAAACCTTGCTGCATTTAACTGCCAGCATAAAGGATTCCACCTCTTCTCCGCTCAACTCCCACTGGCAACTCGCTCTGGGGGCTGCGTTTCCCTAAATGCTCACATTTCAATTAGCATAAGAATAATGAAACGGCTCGGAGTTCATCTCGCCCAAAAAAAAAAAATGTACTGCAAAATACGGAGCTCAGATTGGAAGCGATGGGGATGGGTTTGCTGGTTTAGTTTTTTTTTGGTTGGCTTTTTTTTTTTTTTTTTATCCACGCACACAGGGAGGCACGGCGTGATGGATTCGGGAGGAGATCCGTTCCTTTCAGACGGGAATAACGTGGGCTTCGCTACTTGGAGTTGATTTTCCTGATAAACAACGCGCAAACAAACGCGAAGTGCCCAAGCGCTGCTCCCAGCGCTCCCCCCGCACGAAGCCCCTCGCAGCACCGCAGCTGCAGGGCGAAAGCGACGGGACTTCGGTACCCAGGGATGCGGTTCGGTACCCAGGGATGCTGTGCACCGTTCTGCTTCTCTTCCCCCCTCCTCCCCCCCTCTCCCCTCTCCAACCCCAAGCCTTAATAAGGCGAAAGCACAGATTCCACAGCCACGCGCAGCCTGGCCACGAAAGGCAGCGTTGCTGCGGTGGGTGAAGAAGTGACACGCTAATTAGATCCAAAGTCTGGGGGGAAAAAAAGAGCAAACGGCTCCGAACGCGCTTTCCTTGCCCGATTTGGGTATGTGTGGCGGTGTGTGGCTCTGCCGTGCCGCTCTCCCCCCTCCCTCCGCAGAAGCAAACAGTTAAAGGAAGCAGCAGCTTTAGCATCTTCGCCTGCTGTTCTCTCCCGCTAAGGAATCAAATCCCATTTACTTCATTCCTTTTAAGCCTTGGCCAAACTGTTGCTGGGCTTGGTTTTTGATATATTTTTTTTTGGTGGTTTTTTTTTTTTCCCCGATGGGATAAGGGGAAAAACCCGATCGTTGTCCTCCGCAGGGAGAGCGGGGCTGGCACGGGGCGAGCGATGGCACAGCGCTGAGGGCAGCGGAGCCCGGCACACGGGAGAGCAGCCCACTTACATGGAAGTGATGTTCCTTGAGATGTCCGTGATATTGATGCTCGTGTTGCCATTGCTGCTGCCTGAATCCTGCCCTTCCAAGAGAGGGAAGAGGTTCCCATCATCCGGTTTCTTGCAATTGATGTCTGTCTTGCTGCAAAGACAATTAGCAGGGCAAGCCAGCACCGAAAGCAGATAGTCTCCCCAAATGCTCCAGAGCAAAAATACCCTCCAGAAAGTGCACTTGGTAGGGCAAAGAGAGACATCCATCTCCGATTGCTGTTCTAAAAAAGAGGAGGAGGAGGAAAGGGGGGACGGAGGGAGGGGAAGGGGGGGTAAGGGGGGAAGGAAACAAAGACAGAGGGAGGAAAAAAAAAAAAAAAAAAAAAAAAGGAGGAAAAAAAAAACCACACACAACAAAACCTTCAAGCGATCAGACGCAAAAATCCTCCAGCAGATGAAATCATGCTGGCAGCTGGCTCGGTAATCCCGCTAGGGCAGCGGCAGCGGGCGGGGATGCATGCTGGCCCGGCCGCCCGCCGCTCCCCGCAGCCGCTCCGGAGGATCGCGACGGGGAAATAAATAAATAAGGAAAACCGGTGCGAAAGTCACCAAGTCCCACCTACTGGGCAGAATTAAAATTGACACACCTGCAAAAAAAACACAGCGAGGGAAACGGGGAGAGGAGGAGAAGGAGAAGGAGGAGGAGGGGGGGGGGATGAGATCCCCCTTCCCATCGCTTTCCCTCCCCCGGGCTGGGCAGCCCTGCTGCAGGGCACAAAAAGGAGGAGGAGGAAGAGGAGGAGGAAGGCTCGACAGAGCGAGCCGGGCTCTGTGCTCTCCGCTCTTCGCAATAAAAAGGATTCCCCACCCCCTCCCTCTCCGCCAAAATCAATCCGAGGGAAAGGAGGGGGAAGGGGGAAAAACCCACCCCAGCAACGCTGGAGCCAGAGGAGGAAAAGTTGCAGCGGGGGTTAAATTTGTGCCGGGGGAGACAGCTCCGGCTTTCTCCGACTCTTTGGAGGAGGACGATGCTGCTTTTTGCTTGGGTGTTTCCCACCTCTCCCCCCCCCCCACCCCGCCCCACCACTGCAATCCGGACAGAAAGGGTGGAGAGGAAAGAGAGATCGGATGGGACTGGTGTGGATTACAGCGATTTAAATATATATATATATATACATTCTATTTTCTTTAGATCAGACGGCTTTTTTTTTCTTTTTTTTTTTCGCCTGGAGAGCACCCAGGAAGGACTTTCTAGAAAAGACACAGATGCACACACACACACACACAGATACACACACACACCCCTGCGAGGCGCAGTGGGGGCACGGTGGGCTGCAGGAGGTGCGGGGTCAGCGCTCCTTCCTCCCCCCTCCTCCCCCCCCGCTCTTCCTCCCTTTCTCCTGCAGCAGATTCTGCAATCAGACATGCAAAAATAATAATAAAAAAAAATAAAAATAATAATTTAAAAAAATCCCCACCACAACCCGTTCCTGAAAGAGGAAGACTGAAGTGTTGAAAAGGCTGAGCTCAGAGCGCCGAAATGGCATCAGGAGAGCAGTGAGCGCGAGCTGAACAGCAGAGCGAATTAAGATGCATGGTGCATTTTTGGCAAGCACAAACCCAAGCAGATCACAGCACTGCTTAATTTGCTCGGCTTTTCTACAGTGCTTTTCTGCATGCCTTTTTTTCTTTTTTTCCTCCCCCCCCCCCCCCGTAGTTTCACATCTCTGCTCCTCTGCACGGAGGCATCAGTGCTAAGGGGACGATGCATGGGAGAAGGGAGGAATTACAGGTGTTGGGCTCTGAATATTTCAAGGGTCTGCTTCTGCCATTCTGAGTGAAAAGGCAGACAAATCTCTGCAGGGGCTGAACAGACACCTCTAGGGACTTGCAAGTGCAACATGCCCACCTGTAGCCCTGCTCATGGGAGCTGGTCCCAGCAGGGCTCACGTACCTGTAACTCCTCACCAGCTGCATGCTCCCATATCACAGGTCTGGAGATGCCAGAGTGGGGCACAAGAATTCAATCTTGCTCCTATGGGTACTTCTGGAGGGAAAAACAGATCCATAAACCTCCCCCAAAGAATCAAAGCACATAGTGAATAAATACCCAGGTTGGAGGGCAAGCTCCTCCTCCAGCCCCATTTCTGAAGAACACCTGGATCTCTGGTGAACCCCACACCACAGGTTAATGGGGGTTAACAGAACTAGAGGAGGAACTGCCTGATTGGTTTTTTTGCTCCCTGCCTCAGTTTCCCCATCCATGGTAGAGAGATGCCATTCTGTGTCATATCACAGATCGCTACAGAGAAGCACTGCCTTTCCATTCCCTCATACATCTCCCAGTCTATGGAACCTCTCTGTCCCCTCTACCCTCCTTCCTTGTTACACCCAAAAACCAGCATCCCATCCAGGTGCTGCACGGCACAGGAGGCCAGGACACTCCACAACCTGAAGAACCAGTGCTTGCTTGGGAGCAGGGCTCCCTTCATCCTGGAGGTCACAGCCTCGTGGCACTTGGCATCACACCTGCACGTGTGAAACCTTTTTAGGGTCCACTGCATCTGCCAGGCCGAGCATCCATGTCCTCCCCCAGGTGGAAGGGGATGCTCAGTGAGGCCACCGCTGCTTCAGGTCCCAAAGGAGATGGGATCATTGGCAGTGGGACTGTGCCATCCCTGCCTCCATCCTTCACTCCTGCTCCTGTTGGAAGAGGGAGGCTGGAGCGGGGTGTGAGTGATGGGGCTGTCAGCACGCAGAGATGGTATCTCGAGCGGAGGCCTTGCCGTTATTGCTCTGAGGGATGCTGGCAAATTGCTCTTTCAAGAAGCATCTCCATGAAGGATGAAATCAGCTCCTCCTGCAAGAGCTCTCTCCAGTGGGGCCAGGCTGCAGCTCCTTCCCCCTGGGTTTGGGGCCCTCCAGCAGACCGCTCTGCACTCCAAACCAGCTCCTTCACCTGCATTTCTGTGCTTCACAACTTCTTTTAGCACCGTGCTTCCAGGCTGCCTTTCCCTTGGGGACAACCTGCCAAGGATCCATGCCGGTAAATGCCACCACCCCTTATCATGGCCACAATGTGCCCCTCAGCTCCTGGAGCAAAAGGTCCTTCGGGGCAGGACCATACAGACCCCATAACCCCATATCTGCTCAGTCATCCCCAGCTCTGCTGTCTGATCTCTGTATTGATCCGTTCAGTCCTGCACCGCCCCGCTGCCTCTTACCAGCACAGCACTCGCTGGAAATGATGAGCTGATGTTTTTCTGGCCCCCTCTCACCCAGGGTGATGTGTAAGGCTGCGTGTAGCAGGACTGCTATGCAAGTCTTGGTTACTGAAGTATGGGAGAACCACCGCTTCCATGGGGCAGCCTGAAGGATAGCATAAGGACAGTCATAGACAGAGAATGGCTTAGCTTGGAGGGGACATTAAACACCATCTAGTTCCAACCCTCTGCCATGGACAGTTGATTGGGGATTGATCAGCTGCCCAGGGCCCCATCCAACCTGACCTCAAATGCTAGTGCCTAACCAAGTGCCTAACCAAGACCTAAAGGTACCTAGCAAAGTTTATTTGAGCAGAATTATCAAACATTTCTAAGAGAAAACATTCTCAGGTGAGGGCTAGAAAGACACTGCTGTCACAAAGATAATGAATATTGCTGTGCTAATATTCACGGCTATAACCTGAACCAGTTTCCCACCTGGGCAGGTTCTGAATTAATGACCAGGGGAAAGGTGTAGTCATGGATGCAGTATCCTGGGAGAACGGCTGCAGTGGCCAAAGAGGAAAAATGAAGAAGACAGAAATAAAGGTCTTAGAAAGATCGGGGAATAAGAAGGACAAGCCGACATCACGGCTCCTGTGAGCTCACACAGCATCTTTCCAGCACCACCAAAGCTCCCCAGCGCAGCCACACCAGAGGAGTCCCAGCGCAGACAGGAGCTGCGGGTGTGCTGCGAGCAGATAAAGAGAATGATGGCCCGGCATTGTTCTGCTAACGGCCTGCCATCAAAGTGTCTCCTGGGTGCCTTTCTGCTCAAAGCCAGGCCAGACTTTGGTGTTGAAAGGATGTATGGCCCCATCCAAGCATCTCCCGGGCAGGTGATGGCCTGCAAATCTGCAGGGGAAAGGGCTGCGGCCCCAAAAGGGCATCATTTGAGAAATCTCTGTTACCTCTCTCACCCCAAGCATGGGTTGAGCCATTGGCTGCTTGAAATGGTTTCCTGGTTCAGAGGGGGAATTGTGAAAGCCTGAATTTACCTAAGGCACAGAATCACAGAATCATAGCTTGGCTTTGGTTGGAGGAGGTCTTAAAGCCCACCCAACTCCACCCCCCTGCCACGGGCTGGGTGCCCCCACCAGCTCAGGCTGCCCAGAGCCCCATCCAACCTGGCCTTGAGCACCTTCAGGGATGGGGAACCAACAGCTCTGGCAGCCTGCATCTCCTCATCCTATGATGGCTGCAGGTGAGACAGCCTCTCTCCACCCACCACAGCCTCATAGAGGAAGAGCAGACCATGCCAAACCCAAAGGGGTCATGACCATGGCTCACCCAAAATACATTTAGTTTAGCAGGCACCACTCCTAAACACTTTTCTAGAGAAAATCAAGTGAATGCTTCCCCTCAGCAGCTGCTAGGGTTGGTGTTTTCTTGTATTGATGCTCTCCAACATCACACAAAAGCTGGAGCTCCTGGAGCATGAGGTGACAGGCTAATAGCTGGGCTGTCCTCACCGGGTGCTGCCACACTTGTTTCTCAACATCAGTTTTCCAGAGTCATTAACAATCACGCTAATGTGTAGCATCTAATCTCTCCCCACATGGGGATGACAGCAGCTGAGGCTCAGTGGCATAATTGTGTTTTGATCCCTCATGCCAGACTTCCTCTGCACATGCTGGGAGCTGACGGCACCCTGCAGGAGGGGGTCTGGCTGCTAGAAACCATCACCCACAGGTTCAGGGTGGGATTTGGGATGGGTTGGGGTTCTGAGGCATCTTGGCCGTTCCCACTGTGCTGGGTTTATGGGATCAACCTGTGAGCCTCCAGGATGCACAGTTGGGCTAGTTGGGATGGAGAGGCGCTGCCTTCAAGGCTGGGCAGATGGTTGAGGATTCGGTCCTCGGTCCCCTTGAGCTGTTGGGGAATCAAAGGCTGGAGCCTGGCATGTGAGCTGTGGCCCCTGTCCTGCCAAAGTGTCTGCAATCAACAAATCAATAATTAAGGGAGGATGTACATTATCCCTTGAACTGACTCCAGGTAGAGTTTCATTTAAACCTTTTGGAAGGGGCTGCAAGGGGTCTGGGACTGCAGGAGAATGGGGTGGGGTGAGAGAAGCATTCATCTCAGCCCCAGCTCCAACACCACATCAGCATCACCAGCATCACCAAAGTGAGGTGGTGCATCACGGCCCCGTCCTGTGTGATGGTGCATCATGGCCTTTGATGAGCCACAGATCTGCCTTTTGAGGTGAGCAAAGGCTCTTGTTGCCTGCACAGAAAACAATGGGGAGATTCTCTTCTCCCTGGCCATATGACAGTCTTGCTCTCTCACTTGCTGTCTTGTTCCTTCTCCTGTTGTGTCCCTTATTAAAGATCACTGCTCTCCTAAAAACAACCCTACTAACGTCACACTTGCCTGCCAAAGCTCACTATGTCAAAACAACATTCCCATCTCCTGTTCAGTTCCATTCCTACAGCCTAAGAGAACAAAGTCAGGTCATTTTTGTTGCAGTAACACACCAGAGCTCCCAGATCTGGTGCTCACCTGAGGCATGGCACTGCAGGGCTGTGGGACACACTCCCACAGTTGGAAGGCAGATGACAACAGCAAGCCTTGAAGATGCAGTGCCATTTTGCTCCCCATAGTGTTGTCTGCATCATCCCTGCCCCACCATTGTAATACCTACATGGAAAAGACAAAGCCCAAGATCTCCAAAAGCAAATTAATCTTTGTTTTATAGAAAGGACTAAATGCCCCACATCTTTTAGCCCATTGCCAAGC